CGACAAATGCGCATTCCTTTTAGGCACATTTATATATTTTGATCACAAAATGACCTTATTAACTTATTGATTCCACGATTTCAAGGTGACCTTCCCTTCCAATGGAAACAACAAAGCATAAGAAAATACTGCTACGTATTTCACAAAATCAGAAACATTTATTGTTGAAATTTAAATTACAACTTTTCATCAACATTTTAAGTAGTATTTGAAGGTTCAAACCTCGCAACAATCATATTAATTATCTGAATGAGTACAATAGACACAAGCATTCCTGCTGTGAGACCTGCAATATTCTCACCGTTGGTCACAGAAAATGAGGTGTTGTAGTAGTAGAAAATTCCTGTCACGTATAACACAGCCGCAATCCAACAGCATATTCTTGAAATCAAGAGCCATCTTGCGTTTGCCCTAGTTTTTGGAACAACCTGTAAGACTCCAGCAACACTCACCAGCACGACTCCAATAACATAAGCCCCAAGCAGTGTAGCACTATAAGGTGCATAATTAAGACAGTCCTCTGAGAAGATGTAATCACAAATCCACCCTTTGTAGAATAATGCAAACAATGTAAGGAGAACAGTGATGAAAATAACCAAGGTTTCCCCATAATGCGAAGCCATTGCATTAACTTAACAAGTCCGACTTACTTGTCTCTTCATTTTTATATATGCACCTAGAAAAAAGGTTTGAGAACTGGATAACCAATCAAATTCCTAGGCACTTGCATTATATTATTATTGCTATTGTGCTTGTTTATTTGTGTTCAACCACCAGTCCCCCCTCCCCACACCACCCCCCCCCCTCAGCAATTTGATTGAAAAATATCTACTGACTTCAAATTTCCAATTACCTTGTTACATTTGTATTTACACTTGGGAACTAAACCAATGAAAGTGTACCTGATTAGGGGATTTTGCGCCAGGTCAACTCTGTTGGACGCAAACATATTTGCAATTTGCGTGGTTTACATGCGTCCCGATGTCAAGTATTGACAGCGGAAAAATAGCCCAGACTAAAATATTTATTTATTTCAAATGGCAGGCTTTATGATATTTATCATTAGCCCTTAAACTTTGACTTCAGCTTCCCCCAAGGGTGGGGGGGGGGGGGAACATTTATAGCAGTTAATTAATAGCAGTTCATTAGCCGTCTTCTTGCTTCCCAGTTTCTCTGGCTTTCCGTCGTTGTCTTTAGGACTGGACATCGAGTCAGGCGGGTCTTCTCCATTTCCTCCTGTAGGTTACATAGAGGGCATGTGGGTTGAGTGTATACTCCCAATCTGTGAAAGTGTTTTGCCAGGCAATCGTGTCCTGTACGAAGTCTAAACTCTGCAACAGCTTCGATTCTTGGCCAGTTGGCTATGTCGGAGAGTGCCAGTGTCCACTGTTTCTCCTTTGTTCGAGCTTTAATTTCGTTGCACCTTGAGGTCTTGAATTCTCTTCTGATTAAGGCCTTCATTGTGTGGAAAGACATCGGACGGTCCATGCATTGCAAAATCGATTTGTAATTCTAAAATATGATAAAGTGAAATGCTGTACCACTCTGCCCCCCCCCTCCCTCCTCCCAACTCAGTTCTCCTTGACATTCTATAAAGAATAAAAGCGTCAACAGCGCGACAATGCTATGAGCACATTTGAACTCCATTTTACCAATTTTGCGATTGTTCTGTTTCCTCCAAAATTACATATTATTAAACAAGTTAAACTCGTCGGTGTTTGGCTTACAAAAATGCTATTGATGTTAATTAATTTTTGAATACATCGCTAAAATTACTTTATTCCAACAAATTGCTGAATAGACTACGAATGTATATGAGAGTCACCTTTAAAGAGCATGTTTAATAAGTTGGTTTGCATGACTCAATCATGATTACAGTTTTGAAGAAGATTTCTTATAAGTCTGTTATGACTTTGTTTTAACTAATTTAAATGAGCTATAAATCATCCTTCTTGATTTATAAACAACTAACAAAACTGTGTG